CTGAGTCCGTTTCCCGGCCATGCGCAGCGATGGTGGGGCCCACGGGGGCGTCACGTCCTGGTGGCACCTGCGAGTCGCGTCCCAGCATCTCTCGGGCAAACGAAGCCGTTGTCAACAGCAAAACCTGTGTTTTCTCTTGCAAACTTTTTAAATCGTAGCTTTGACAGCTAATTTCTAAATGACTGCAAAGCCATCTGACATAGAACTTCGCTTCAAGGGGAATAACGTTGAACGTGAACAAGGTGTGAAATATTTACAGCTGGCAGAGGAAGCGGCCCGGCTGGCTCCTCGGCGCTGGGGCTGGGCCTGGGCCTTCGCTGTACTGAAACAGGCCTAACTCCAGATCTGGCACACCAGCCTTGTTAAGAATAAAACCGCTCTGATTAGCCCAAATTACTGTTCATGGCCGTATCTCAATTAAAGGCCTCCCCGCAGGCAGCTTGGGGTTCATGCGGAGGGTCGTGGTGCTGCTCGTGCCCAAGCTGGGATGTGACTGTGGCTTTTCCAGGGCAATCTGTTCGGTGCAGACCCGCCTGCAATTTCCTCTTCTTGCATTAAAACCAAGATTAAAAAGCACATAATCCCTCCTGAGTTCCCATTCAGCTGAGATGCCCTGCAGCAAACCTGGCTCCGCGTGGCCGGCACCGCTCGCTGGGCATCCTCTAGAGCTGCCGTCGCGTGTGCGGAGTCGGAGAGGGCAGCGATGGGGAAACTGAGGCACAGGATCATAGCGAGGAGGCTGGAGGGAACGGGGCTGGGAGTCTGGTGGGTCTCCCTGTGCCCGTGTCAGGCTGCAGTTTGCATAATGCTTTTTTTTATTTTCAGTATTGATTTATTTTCCATCTCGATGTATTTGCTCTTCTCTCCTGCTCCATGGTGCAGGAATGTGGAGGACGTCTGCCGGTTCCCGGACCTGCCGGCTCGTAGGCAGTTGACCTACCAGGCCAAGCAGCTCATCGCCAGGGAGATCGAGCTGGAGAAGATGAGGAGGACGGAGGCTTTGCTGCAGGCACGAAACCTGAGCGAGGTAGGGCGGGCTTGCAGTGGCCTGTGCTTTCGGCGGGGGTGGTGGGTCCGTCGATGGGGATAAAGTCCTCAAGGCTGGTGTGGGGACCTGGTGTTTCCAAAGCAGCCGGTGGCTTTCACTCTGCAAATGGCAATCCAGGATTAACCCCCCCGAGTCACAGCTGTCTGCTGGCACATCTGCCTTTGGGCGGCACATCCGCACTGGGGCGATGAGCCCAAAGGGCTCATCTTTTTTTTTTTGCAGGAATTCTGGAAAGAAAAGCTCGCTGAGTTGAACCCTTCAACTCTAATGAGGGTTGCGACAAGATGGGAATTTTAGTTCGCCTGCTGTATGTGTCCGTGGGGTAGCTGATGCTCTCTCCTGCCTGTGTGTTCCCCTTGCTGCTTCACTTCAATCCTCCCAAAAGTCCCAAAGACCCTGGAAAGAGCAGAGTTACTCTGCCCACTGCCGAAACCCTCCGTGAAGCAGAGGGCAGGAGGAGGTGGAGAGGACTGAGAAACAGTTGAGGTGTAGCTGGCACCTGCCCTGGCCTGGTGCCACGGGGATAATTAATCCCTGAGAGCGCCCCATCTTGCAGCAGAAGGGCTTTCTCGGGGGATGCACGAGGCAAAGAGATGCTACAAAAACATCTCTGAAGGTTCCTTGTTTACACGGTGCCGACCGTGAAGTCCCGGGGAAAGGGACTGTAAACACGCACGTGCCCGAAGCGCCGCCAGGGCTAATCCCATGTGCTGCTGCGAGACAGAAAAGGATGAAAAAAATACTTACCAGGTCGTTTGGATACCGTAATCAAACCTGGCAGCAAATAGAGGGGGATACCCAAATCTCCAGCCCCTTGCTTAGGGCTCTCTTCTCTCCAGGAGCCCAGGAATGGCCTCAGTGGGGCGGGGAAAGAAGCGGCCACGGGACCGGCCGTGGCCCCCAACCACCAGCAGCGCCTGGAGCACATCGTCCGGAGAGAGGGGGTGGAGGACAAGGTGAGGGGGCTGCAATTTCTACCTAATTTCCTACCGGCGTGTCCCCTGGCTGCTAGAGACTGGCTGTCTCCATCCGTATTTATTTATTTTTAGTACAGTTTCTTTTAATAGAAGAGTTCGGCACCGCGCGTCCCCGTAAATGCATCGCTGGCTTTATGGCGTGGGGATGAGTTATATCCGGGTGACAATTAACGGAGGTGCCCCGCAAAGCTTTCAAGGGTGGGGGAGGAGGGAGACGTGAATGTTTGGGCTCAAATAGCTGAATTTTGGTTTAGTGGAAGCTGGGGGGTCGGGGAGGGAGCTGCTCACGGGGTGAGGCGGTACACACACAGCCTGGGGGGCCGTGGGGACGTCAGCGGGTGAGCCAGGCTGGTCCCAGCCCGGGCATCCCACCAGCGGCCAAGAGAAGCGAGAGGTGGTCCCCTGCCACCACCCCTCTCCGCGGGCTCAGCTTTGAGACCGTGCCTGTCCATCAACCCCTGCTTTTTTAGCACGATGAGCCTTCAAGTTTGTCTTTCCCACCCGATTTTGAGTGCTTTTTGCATTTTACTGAGGCCGCCGGCCCTTTCTGCGGGATTTGCAGCCGGCTCCTGCTCGGTGGCTTCTTCCCACGCCGGGTGCTTGAAGGGGGACGGGGCTGTTCATGCGGGCGCCGGCAGAGCCGCGCTCACCTTCTGCTTTTTGCTTTTCGCAGCCTGAGGCCGATTTCTTCGGGCGGCCGCTTCGGCGGCAGCGAGTGGCCACAGCCCCAGGTAGGTGGCAGAGGGAGGAGATGGCTGCGGTGGCCTCGGCCCCGAGTGGGTGGCGGAGGGATGGGGTGGCTGCGGTGGCCCCGGCCCCGGGTGGGTGACAGAGGGACGGGGTGGCCGGGGGTGCTGCTGGGGGGGGGTCTCTGCGTTTGAGGTGCCTGGACCCCACACAGGTGCCCAAACAGGGGGCTCTGTCCTTACATGCTGCGCCCCAGGGGACATCAGTGGGGCAGGGAGGGGGTATTGAGCGAACTGCCCCCGATGCAGCGGGCAGGGGGGGGTCTGTGGGCTGGTCGGTGGCTTCTGGCGGCATCCAAAGGGACAGTACGTACACTGAGCTCGGAGCACCGCTGTGGGTAACCTCGAGGGTTTGCAGGATCCGGGAAGTGGGAGCATCAGCTCCACCTGTGCAAACCCCCCCCTCCCCGTGCCCGGTGGCAGCTCCCCGGAGCCCGCCCTCCCCGTGCAGCCTGGGTGCAGGTTCTAACTCGACGGCTAAGAGTTTCTGCAAGTTTTTTGGCATCTCTCCCCTCTCCCCCCCGCCGCAGCCCCTCAGGTCTCCAAGGAAGAGTCGATGGAGAGCCAGATGGGAAAGGCCGTGGGGAAGAGCGATGTCTGGTTCCGGTTTAACGAAGGGGTTTCCAACGCCGTCAGGAGGAATATCTACATCAAGGACCTGCTCTAGCAGGGCAGGCGTGAAGCCCGGGAAATTATATAGGTGGAACTGAAGGGATAAGCTGACTTGACTTTCGAACCCATAGATGGGGCGTGTGTGCCTGATCCTGGTTTGTTTTTTTATTTTTGAGTACCCACTTGTTTTGTTAAAAAAAAAATAAACTTTATAAAAAAATATATAATCATGAAGTATTGTTCTGTTTATTTCATTTATAAACCCTCAGTTGTCATATATCACCTGTTTTGCTGCAAAATTATATCCTACAGTATACAAAAGAATATTTAAAATCCCTGAAAATGTTTTATAAAAAGTTTTGTTCCTTTACAAGTCGAAAAATCTGCCAGCTTGATGGCAACGGTGGTGGAGGTGAGTGACGGTCTGCGACTGGAAACTGCAGCCTGACCCTGTGGAACCCTTTGCTCTACTACTACTACTAAAAATAATAAGACAAGATGAGGGTAGGGTTTTTGTTCAGGTAGTCGTATTCGGAAGCTAGCTAATAAAAAAGTACATTCAGAGTGGGGCAGCGAGGGGCAGCGGGGGCCGGCGCAGGTCGGGGGCGACCCCTCAGAGGATGGTGCATTTGCCTTTCTCCACCCAGGGGTTGTTCTTCATCAGCTCCGGGTTGAGGAAGGGGTCTTCTGGAATGCCGTCCTCGATCCACTTCACAAACCTACGGAGAGGGGAGCGGAGGGGTGGGCACAGATCCTGCCCGCGGCGGCATTGCCGCTGTGTC